TCCATCTGATCTAGTGAGTCATTTAGGATTGCTGTTTGTTGGCTGATTTTTTTTTCTAGAGGATTTATACAGTGATGTCAGTGGTGTGTTTAAGTCCCCTACTATGATTGTGTTGTTGTTGACCTCTCCCTTGTTATTTTCCAGGAGGTTTTTTATGTATTTGGGTGCTCCTGAATTGGGTGCATATATGTTTATCAAGGTTATATCCTCTTGTTGTATCGATCCCTTTAGTATTATGAAGTGGCCTTCCTTATCTCTTGTTATGGCCTTTACTTTGAGGTCTATTTTGTCCAATATAAGTATTGCTACCCCAGCTTTTTTTTCATTTCCATTTATCTGAACAACCTTTTCCCATTGCTTCACCATCAGTCTATGTGAGTCCTTTGTTCTGAGGTGGGTCTCCTGTACACAGCAGATATATGGGTCATGTTTTCTTATCCAGTCAGCTATCCTATGTCTTTTGATTGGGGCATTTAATCTATTTACATTTAAAGTTATTATTACTAGGTATTTGTTTGTTGCCATTTTTATTCTTTATGCCAGTGTTCCTTCTTCCTTTCCTATTTCTTTTTATAGCATACTGTTTAGCATTTCTTGCATTGCTGGTTTGGTGGTAATAAACTCCCTTAGTCCTTTTTTGTCTGTCAAGCTCCTGATTTCACTCTCAGCTTTGATTGATAGCCTTGCTGGGTATAGTATTCTTAAACTCAGAGCCTTTCTTTGCATGACTGTGTATATTTCATTCCATTTCCTTCTGGTCTGATGTGTTTCTGTTGAGAAATCAGTTGATAATCTGATAGAAGATCCCTTGTAGGTAACTTTCTGTCTCTCTCTGGCAGCCTTTAAGATTTTTACTTTGTCGTTGGTTTTTGCCAATTTAATTATAATGTATCTTGGTGTCGTTCTTTTTGGGTTCATATTGTTTGGACTCTGTGAGCTTCTTGGACTTGTGTGAGTTTTTTCTTGCCAATATCAGAGAAATTTTCTGTCATTATTTCTTCAAACAGGTTTTCTATTCCTTGTTCAGTTTCTTCTCCTTCTGGCATCACTATTATGTGGATGTTGTTTCATTTTGTGTTGTCCCAAAATTCCATTAGGCTTTCCTCTTTATTTTTTAAGTTTTTGTTCCAGTTGCGCTCTTCTTGGGTATTTTTTCTACCTTGTTTTGTGGCTCGTTGATGCAGTCTCTGATTCTTCTAGTCTACTGTTGATGCTTTCTATTGTGTTCTTTATTGCAGTGATGTCATTTTACATTTCTTCTTGGTTCTTCATTTCCTCTTAATTCTTACACATATTGTTGAATTTGTCTTCCATCCTTTTTAGTGTACTTATGACCATTGCTCTCAATTCTTTCTCTGACATATTGGTTGCCTCCATTTCATTTACTTCCTTTTCCAGTGATTCTTCCTTTTTTTTTCACCTGCAGGCTGTTTTTTTGTCTCCCCATGATCACTCCTCTCTGGATGTCTGGTTATGTATCTCTCTCTCTCCTGCATTGCCTTAAAGGCACAAAATACAACACGAAAAGACACAACACCCAGGGCACCAAATACAAACATATTCACGATACCAATAACCCCAAATAAAGATGACCACCAGAGAAAAGAGAATTAGGGGAGAGAAAAGGGTGAAAAAATGATATTGAGAACAAGAAAAAATGTAAGAGAGGAAAGAGAAAAAAGACAGGGGAAAATATATGTATATGGGGATAAAACTCCAAAACAACAACTAATCCAATAAATGCAAAGAACACACACCCAGAGATGAATGCAAACAACAAACAACTAATCCAAAAAATGTAAACAACAAACACCCAAACAACAAACACCCAGAATCTGAGGAGGTAGAGCTTATTTCCAGAAGGTAAGGTCAAGGAATTGAATGAATGGGGAAATAGCCACAATTCAGTATAGAGGAAGTAGAAAGAGAATGAGTGTATAAGAAGAAAAATAAAAAAACAAAATTTTATACAAAATATATATATATAATTTTCCCCTTTCTTTAATCTATCTATGTATTCATCTATTATTGATTGGAAAATGAGAATAGAGAGTAGATAGGCTTGAGTTGGTAATTGGAATTAATTAAGCTATTAGTAGAAGACGAGGACAAACAAGGAGAGGAAAAACAGAAAAAAAAACACAGTAACAAACAATCAAATAAGAAACAACAAAACAGAAAGAAAGAAAAGGAAGAAAAAAATTTTGGATAGGGAAGAAAAATAAGAGAGAAGTGTGCATGGACTTGGAGCAGGGGAGAGGAAATTAGATATATGAGTAAGATCAATTTTTAATAGGGGATAAAAAAGGGATAGAAAAAAACTAAAGCATGAATTGGGTAAGAGAAATGGATGAAAAAGAGGAAAAGTGAGGAAGAGAGTGTTGGCATAAAGGAAAAATTGAGATAGAGTAAAATAATGGTAAAATAAAAATAGAATGTAGAACACTAATCCAAAAAGAAACTAAACTAAACTAAAACTTTAAAAAAGGTAAAATAATAGTAATAATAATTAAAACTAAATATATAATAATAAAAAAGTAAAATCAAATGAGAAAAAAATTAGTTTCTTAAGTAAAATATAAAAAATAAAAAAGTGAAGTAGTGAAGGTTGGTCACTTCCTCTACTGTTCTGTTTGGCACATCTGTTTCCTGTCAGATAGTCAGCACAGTGTTGAAGTTCCCTGCGATCCACCGCTCCTCTGTGTCATAAGCCACAACTTTGTTTTCAAGCAGGCGGGATCTCTCTGCTCACTTTTTTTCTCTGCCTGCCTTCAGTTGTATTTACACAAG